CAAGGATCTGCCAGGACAAAAAGACAAATACAGAGAAGCAAAAAAAAAAATGTCTATGTACACGACAGAAAGCGATCGTGGTTCTGCTACAAATGATGCAGAAACCGATGGCAAACAAAGTTCACTTTATACCAATCAAAAGTACGCGCGAAAATCTCTTGATCCGAACCCGATGTACGGACAAAATGTTGAAAACACTAATTCGATATATCCAACCAATCAGGACCCTAATCCAATTTGCATACATAAGGCCCTCGATCCAAATCCGATGTACAGCCATAATGACGAAGACACTAATCCGCTTGAGCCAAACCCCCTTGATCCAAATCCGACGCACGGTGAAAATAACCAAAACACTCATGCTGTGCGAAACGCGCTTGATCCAAATCCAATGTACGCTCAAGATACACCAGACCCGCCACAAAACGTCGAATTTCAGGATCCAAACCGTGCTGATATTTGCATCACGCCTTACGCTGTTGCATATGCTAAAGATGATGATAAGATTCTCGTTAGAAGTCGCAATACTCATCAGCAACGTGGGCAAACGGGTGAGGCCGCTTCTGGTAATAACGACATTGAACCATACGCTGTTGCATACATGTGTCAGGATGATAAGGCAAGTGCAGAGGAGGCGCCTCCAAACAGATATGAGAAAACGGCATCAGAAAACCGCAATGACACCTCGAACAGATTACCGGGATCCAGCGCAAACCCTGCTGGTTCTTCTGCCATGGTCGGGAATAACAGTAGCATACATCAAGTTCGACAGGCCCCGAATGCACTACTACCAAATCCGATGTACGTGCGAAATGTTGCCCAGCAGCCAAGCTGTGGTAAGATGTTTAAAGAAATACATTTAAAAATGTTAAAGTTGGCTAGAATAAGATCATATTTCATTCAATCTAATCATTTGAATTTCCATTGGTTGTACATAGGAACTGTTCTTTTTCTCCAGCTCAAAGAAGTATATGCCATTACAAAAGTTTAAAATTATTGATTTTCTTTCATTTGAACATGCCCTTTAATATTGTCTCGTCACGAATGAATGTATTATATCATTTGCAGGATGTATGTTTCGATTCATCAACTTCACTGCAACAAAAGCTATCTTGATTGTGATACTGATCATTGTTGTCATCTTTATCGGGGTATTTATTCCCATCAACACGAAGGATGTCCAAACGGTTAGTTCAAGTCTCTTGTTTCATTCCTTGGACTGATAAAGATTTTTGTAGAAAATATATTTTTTTGTCTGAGCATTATTAAACACTGGAGAAACTGACGATTTGGTCCAAGATGGGTCTTTGCTTCTTTCAGTATTATTAACACTTATGACTCGTATGCATTGTTCTCAAATATTTTTGCTATAATTTCAGACAGCGTCTGTCAATGTCTCGTTTGGGATAACAACACTATTAATGGATCTTACGCCCGACCACACTACAGGTAACTTTATATTATAACTCTGTGTGTGTGTGTGTGTATGTGTGTGTGTGTGTGTGTGTGTGTGTGTGTGTGTGTGTGTGCGTGTGTGTGTTCCTCTATAAGGTACCATTATATCTCAACATAAATAGTATAAATATATATACAATTTTTACTTACTACAGAAAGCTACAGCGAACAAATGGAACCAAGAGAAATCATCTTTGGCGGGAAGGGATCGGGTCCGGGAAAGTTTGACGGCAATTTTGGAGTCGCAGTTTCTTCTGACAGTGACATATTCGTGACTGATCAAGGCAACCAACGAGTCCAAGTCTTCAGTATGAACGGGACCTTTCTCCGCCTATTCTCAACTGTAGTTCCCGGAGAGAAGAAACAAAAAATAATGTACCCTACAGATGTGGCCATGGACGATGAGGGTCACTTGTGGGTAGTGGGGCGTGGGGATTCTAAAGCGGACTACGGTGTTGCCCATGTGGTACAGTACAATCAAAACGGTCAACCAGTGACCAAGTTCGCCCCAAGATACACCGAGTGGTACCCTTGCATAACCGTAGACACGCACGATAACAAAATCATTGTGGCCCTTTCAGAACAAATCTTGATATTCCTACCGAATGGATCGTGTTGTATGCGTATTTTTATGGACCATGTCCTGGTTACGCCGTACGTCGCCTCAGACAGCAATGGAAATATTCTCCTGGCAAACCCTTACGTGCGAGGCATTCAGGTGTATAACACCTCAGGGCATTCTTTGTACACCTTTGGAAGCATTAGGCGAGGTAAAGGCACACCCCATGGTATAAGTGTAGACACAGAGGGTAACGTTTTCTTAGCTTACGAGCGCAGAGGGAGGGTAGACATGTTTGACAGCTCGGGACAGTTCGTTCGCACCGTTGTGAACGTTACGACGCCGTGGGGTGTTGCAGTAGGACCGGGTGGTCAGTTGGTGGTAACTAACGGTTGCGATCCTGACAACACTGTAACCATTTACCCACGCCGGATGGTGTATCCGTGATACATGTAGTATTTATTTATATTTATATTTATTGTATTTATATTTCACTCCATACCATGGTATGTAATAGTATGAAATATATTAGTTTTATTCCTGTTTCTTCTTCATTTTTGGGAACTACATGGGGGTTTTGAAACCCTTGATACTGGGGAGAACTACATGGAAAAGATTGCTTTGGAACAGTCCACTTTGGAAGGAGATGGACTGAAATATGCTGTATTTGCTCCTATACAAATGTCTTTCTAGTTCATAATTGCGTCTGCTATGTTGTTTCTGCTGACTACAGGGGTATAGTTTACGTTAGCAGGGCTGTCAGTTCGTGTAACTTTTTTTTTTGGACATAGAAGGTTGATAGCACGTGGGTGGGGGTGACATTGGAAGGCATCTTGAAATTTCCTAAGGTATTCACATTTCTTGTAATTTTATTGGCACAACCTAAGAGATACGTATACTTTTAACGGACCTAAGACGGAAACCTTACAGGACGGAAACGTGCTTGAAGCGCCTCTGGCGGTACGTTTCAATACTGCAGAAGACAACACTAACACATACACATGTACCCGATGTCCCATAACTCTGTTTTATATATTACTTCACTGAGTCAAGAAATCGCCAACACGAACACAAAATGTATTATAAGCATGTAATATTAAAATCCATATGTCATTGTTTTACCCTTGCTTTTGCAACTTCTTGATAACCTTCCTAGTATTGCCAAAAGGCTAACCAAATGTTGCCAAAACACGCCCCTTGGTCAAACAACTACGAGTGAGCTGGCTCCTTACATTTGCTTGGAGTTTATCATATCCAGAAGAAGAAGAACTTTATTGCGCAACAGATGTAGCGGGTACAACGTATGGCAAAATATACATATATATATATACATATATAAATATACATATATACATATATATATATATATAATATACATATATATCTTGAAATGCACAAGATATATATATACATATATATCTTGTGCATTTCAACAAACAAATAATCGTACTCCCCTATATGTTACATAGTTGGTGATGCTAACATACATAGTTTTACATAGTTGGTGATGCCAATTGCAACATACATACATAGTTGGTGATGCCAACATACTTTTTTTTATTACATAGTTGGTGATGCTAAAAATATCGAACAGTCACTAGTACTGTTCTACTAACTGTACTAAGAATCTGGTCTACTTTCATAAACAATGTATAACAATAAAGAGACACTAATTATACTAATCTAACTCTATTGATAGTAATATATTGTGTCAGGAATTTATCACATTTTCTTGTTTTGTCACTGAAATTGGCCTACCTATTGTGGATATATTGACAGGACATGATAGTAGCACATTAGGAATTTGCCGATATTGTGATTTAGATAAGATAGAAGACGAGTGTCATTTTGTTGTTTATACAATAGCGAGCGAAATATTCTTTTTAACTGTATTCAAAATAGGTTTCCTAGTTTTCAATATTTGAATAGTTTAGACAAATTCATATATCTTATGAAATTAGACAAGCCGTGTTTTGTAAGTTCTATATGTTCATTCATCTACAATTGTTTTAAGAAGCGAGAAGAAGTCGATCCTGTAAACAATAGTATTATTTAGTTTGTCTTCATGACCTGTACTTAGCTCGAAAGAGCATAAATGTGCAATAAAGGTCTTTCATCATCATCATCATCATCATCATTAAATATCCATGACCCTCTCACATCTCAGGCCACTGGGCCAGGCGCCAGAATGCCACCCTGCGACTAACGCGTCATTTATCACTCCGATTTAATAGCGCTATTTATAGCTGTAGGCATGTAGGCATTTCATCTGTATTTTATAGCTACATGTCACACATTCAGGACCTGCCACCGAATTTTATATAATACCCCCCGAGCACCAGTCGACGTCCCAGATTTAGGCGACCTTTCTGTACGAATCTAAACGAATTTGAGTTAAATTTGACTCCAAAACACACCCGGAAAACTGCTGACTTACTACCGAATGGTTGGTTGGTAGTCTGCTGACTTACAGCCGAACATAAACCAACCGTGGCAGAACCTCTCAGAAAAAAAACCCCGATGTGTCAGACCATAGAGGTAGAATGGGAGGTCCCTATAACATCATTGACTTTAATAATTTAACACATGTCTAACGCTATTAGCAACAATCGATATCCCTACTTACCTTGTATGAGCCAACGTTTGAACGTTTTCATCCTCCTTGCTGAAACTATATACAAGAAACGAAACCATCCGACTCCACAAAGTAGATTATTATATCCAGACTAGCTTCAATGTGTGTGATTGTAAGCCAGTTTTTGTGATCTGTATTCAGCCCAATGGCTCAAAGTCAAATCACAGTACAATAGGCATTCATTCGTGATAGAAGTAAAACACGTATTATGCAATTGTAAATCCTGTTAAGATATACCCCAATCTTATGCTGGTGTCCTTTTGCATTAATGCTATACCGCGTCGAGGTGTTAATGTATTCTTTTAATCCCATTACCCCCTGCACTGGATCCAGAGTTCAGACGGCAAAAGGACACAGTGGGTCAAAGTTGAATCGCCCCAGCTGTTTGTACACACTCAGCACACAGGGGATCCCAAGGCCTCTCGAAATGGCGTGTTCACAAAACGTAAGTGTACCGTTATTCCTTAGAACCATGAAATGTTTTGTAGTGATTTTGATAACGCAACTTTGGTGAGGATTTGAGAACGATATAATATCTACCTCTAATCGTTTGCGTAGGCTTGGGGAGGAGTATCTATGTGGTAGAAAAATCAAAATTGGCATCAACATCGTTACGGTGTAAACAATGAGGTTACCGTTGTGGGTGTAAATTTATAGAATGTCCTCTATTGAATCAAGGAGGTTTGATATAGAAATCTTGATTGAACGAAGACCATTGTGTGTCTATTTTCGCTGGAAGCAAAACATTTCCACAGTCGGAGGGCTTGGAGTTTATTACCCGGACTAAACGGCTCGTGGCCCGTGCACGTGTAAACTGACTGATATAACTCCGGGTACCCTTATGTGCGTATGACATGGGTGAATGTACAGTAGCAAGCTACCAAGGAGTTAGTTGTTATAGTGCTATAATAAGTTAAGTCCTGTATCCAGGACCCTGACCTTGAATTTAGACCATGCTTTATCCAGATGATTAGGCACGGTTCTGGATTGTCAAAATCTACGCCCAGTACCCGCAGGTGACCCATTTTACAGTACACATTACGCTCAAAGTGTTTACTGTATCCCGCAATTGTGTTAACAGTAAACATTGATAGTGCTTGCAATGATTACTATTCTGTGTTAAATCAATACTTGACCATTCGTGCCCTTATAACCCACAGATGCCCTGCTGTATTCCGGTCCGGTATGCTTTGGCTGTCCTTCTTATGGGAGTTATAATCCATTTCTTCACCCTGCGTTCGAACTTCAGTATTATTGTGGTAGCTATGGTGGAGCATGCTCCGCATAATAAAGGCAACACTTCCATGGAGGGCGAGTGTTTTGTAAACACGAGTCAAGATAAATTGATGGACTTCAATCTGCACAATGAAACGGGGATGTTTTGGCCTGCGAACAACACAGAGCATAACAAGCAGGTAGGGAATTTCAGTTTTTAGTACTGTCATTTTGACTTCCTTTTGTAAATTCGTGTTCCGTTTTACCTGAATGTTGGCAAATACCCTCGCCAAGAAGGTTATGTATTCGGTATCACGTAAGTGTTGTTTTGTGGTTCAGCTAATGTTAGCTATAGGTTGTTGTTCTCACTCTGGTCTTCCTCAGTAGACTGACCCGGTGTTGACGTCACACTTCAAAGACGTCACGTGACAAGTCTGACTGGGTCACTCTACTGAGGAAGATCAAAGTGGCTGGTCGAAAGCTCTAGCTGAGAACTTTGTGTTGGAACAAACTTAAAACATGTGACTAGCACCACTAAATAAAGCAGTAAATTTCATCATACGATTGTATAATCGATAAAAATGCATTCTATGACGTGGTTCCATTACGCAAACTATATGTTGTACTTTCCTTAAGTTTAAATTCTCTGGTTTCTTGTTTTTTAGGACAAGTTTTCCTGGGACCCCATTACGCAGGGCCGTATCATAGGTGCTTACGCGTACGGTCACGTGTTCAGTCAGGTTCCTGGAGGGTTCCTGGAGGCCAGGTTTGGCGGGAAGAGGGTTGTCGGTGTGAGCATGCTGCTGGCCTCCGCTCTGACACTGCTGACGCCCACGGCGGCTTTTGCCGGAGAATGGTGGCTGTTTGTTGTCCGGGTTGTTGTCGGCGTTGTGCAGGTAAGAGTTTTGAGGCTCTGTGGTAGACTAAAGTCTAGATGATACCGAGTAAGTGTCCTAAGACAGCTAAAAAGAGACCAAGAAAAAAGTCGGGTCTAGTTTTATCAACCCAGAATTGACGTTTCTAAAACACGCACCATAATTTCTACGCTTTCTGCCATCCTCCACAGGGAGTTATTTACCCAAGTACGTTTGGCATCCTGTCTAAATGGGCCCCGCCATCGGAAAGAGGTCGTCTTCTTACAATCGTCTGTGTCGGTAAGTCAGCACAAGTATACTGTTCCCTTGCTGTCTCCTTCCTTG